GGGGCCTTTTCTCACCGATTTAAGAATAGGCGGCAGATGCCCTGACAGCGACCATTGTTCCCGGTAGACACAGGCGACCGGGCAACCTCGGCCCGCGTGCGCCAGGCGCGTCCCCCAGCCAGGCGGGTTTTTTACAACTCCTGTTGTCTCAGAGCGGCCCGCGCGCACCCTCGCTCCTCACCCCTTGCACCCTCGCACCCCCTCACACAGCCTCGCGAGCGCGCGCGCGAGCACGCACACACACACACACTCACATTCGGCCGCTCTCGGTAATTTTTCATAAGTGCAAAGCTGTGCTGAACCAAAGGTCACCATCCAAGCCACTAACAACTTCTCGCCGGCGCGCGGTTCCAAATCAGGAAGCAAAGGGAACTATTTGTCAGCGGCCCTGACAGCTAAGTTCATTAAGGATTTAAATCTGAAGAAATAAAAGTCGCCAAAATATTTACCTGCCGGCCACGCTCCCGCGCCCGCTGCCCGGGGCCAGGAGTGGAAGGCCGGGGGCGCCGTGCGGCCCCCCTAGGCGGGTGATATTCTTGGGATCCCTGCACTTTCCAAGTCGGAGAGAGCCCTTTGCGTGGCAGATTAATGACGACTCCGTGTTTCTTAAGGGACGTGCTGAATTAATTATTTCGCCAATCACGTGGTCGGGACTTGAAGAAATCTATTCTTATCATCTTCCTCGCACTTTGAAAATTCTCCCGGTTATGAAAGGCCCTCTCCCGGCTGTCGGCGAGCCCTGGCCGCCCAGCCGGGCGAGGGGGACAGGGAGGGGTCCCCAACATGGCGGGCGAGTGAGTGGGAAGCGCCGTCTGCCGAGGGTCCCGATATACTGTACTGTACGCCAGCGGGCTCCGCTCTGGACTCGCGTTCTGCTCATCCCTGCCCAGGATTCAATACACACAGCGGTATTGATGTATTGGTGGGCACAGGAGGAGCCATTAACCAGAAGATGGGCAGAGGACAATCATAAAATGTGTCTGAATATTTAAACTTCTGTCTGCACACTTATAAATACACATGTCCACGCGTCTGGGACGAGCCCTTCCATATATTAAGGACACATGTCTGATTTTATGCATTCTGCTCATTTACTGTCACGAACAAGCCCCCCATCTCTTTTGGAACTCCTGTTTGGCCCTTCTTCAAGGCAAGACAAGGCAGATGTGAAAAAAAGCCCTGGAATAAAAATAGTGCAGTCCACTTTGTTGAGTGGAGAGCGTTGATTGTTGTCTGAGGGGTGGCGGGGACACTGAGGGAGGGAGGGGCAGGTACCAGAGGTGGGGGGGGGTGACGAGCAGCCCCGGAAAAGTGGAGGGAGCCCAAGATTGGAGGCCAGCAGGGTCAGGTCAGAGCAGCCATCCTGACAGCCCCAGCTAACCCAGAACCTGGCACCCGCCACTCCCCCGCCAGGGTGGGGAGGAGTGGGAGTGTCTGCCCACTACTTCACAAAGAACTCCTCTGATAGCTCCAAGACTGAGTAGGTGGGGGCCTGACAGGGCCCAAGTACAGAGCCAACCTGAAGCTTCCCTTTAGCCTGGGCAGTGACTTATTTTCCTTTCAAAACTAATGCCCACTGCCCTGTAGGCTGAATCCAACTCAGGCTTCCCAGTGCTCACAAAATATAAGGGCCAAATTGGGAGTGTGTGTGGGGATAGGTGGGGGTAACGGTTGTAATTACTAAGCCTTCCACAGTTTAACACTCACACATAGGCACCTTGCAGAAAATAATAAAATAAATTGTTTCTATTGAATGTCAGCTGGAGAAGACTTGACTTGGGAAGACTGGTCTGTGGAGGCACCAAACAGAAGAGGGACATTTTGCTACACTTTTTATTATTTCAAATATAGATCAATGAATTACATCAAAACTACAGGCAACAATTAGTATAAATAATACTTTAATCAGTGGCAGCAAAACATTGGTCAATTCTATTAGAAAACGCATCTCATGTGAACAGCCACCATGAGGCTGACTGAAATGTCATCTCACAACAAAGGCTGCGATGGACAAAGTGGGATGGGAGTCCGAGGAGCATGTCCTCAGCAAACACTTCATTCCCTCCCCCCTCCCCAGTCATGGCCCCAAGACATTTTTTAAAAAAACAAAACACCAAAACAAACACTTCTGGCTCATATTTGGGGGAACAAACTGGAAACAAATAACAGCAAATGGGCATTGGAGCCTTTCCACCTCTTTCTCTAGAGTATGTTCCCAGATGGAAACTCACTTCCTTCCCTGCCTTGGTTGGCTGGGGCACCCTACCTCTTCTCTGCTCACGCCTGTGGGCCCAAATGGACCCTGGCGTCTGAGTGGGACCTTGGGATTGAGGACTGCCCTCTGGGCCATCCAGGCTCCATTAACATTTCAAAAGACAATCCCTCAAAGCTGAGAAGGAGAGCTGAGACTTATAAACAAAGAAGTTGTTTCTCTGATTAAGTTACTTTACAAAGTAGTGGGGCTGTGTTTGAGAAGGAGCTTGGCTTTTCTTCATGAAAACAAGCCTCTTGGCTTTCCTTTGGGACAGGAGGGAAGGAAGTTAAGCAGTTATAGTATTTGGCCTGAAGCTGGGGTGAGTAACCTGAACTTATGGGGAGAAGGAAAATCTATACAATATTCTCTACAATATATATGTAATTGCATGGTGTGAAAATATATCCTTTTTTTCCCTCTCCCAGGAGAAGCTTCAATGCAGTCACAGAATAGAGTTTTAGGAAGAAAGACTCTTAGCAACTTTCCAACTTGCCTAAGGAAAGCAGCTCCTTTCAAATGCTACATCCAAAGACAGGTCTCCATGTTAGCAAGAAAAAAAAAAAAAGAGAGAGAGAGAGAGAGAGAAGGGTAGTGAGAGTCCAAAAGGTTAAGGGTTTAGAGGTCAGTCCTCCCGGCTGAAATACAACTAATCGAATAGAAAATTTGCCCTCTGGATGAACCTGATTCTGTAATTTAGCCGAACTTCAGTAAAATACCTTTTCAGCTTCTCAACGTGAGGGCGTCAGAAAAAAGACATCTTGACTATGTATGAACTCTGTGCTTTTTGTCATAGAGACAATGATGCGAATAATGCAGGAATATCCATCTTTAATATCCCGACGTGGCGATATTCAAGGATTGCCATGTGCAAGTCTGAGAGCCAGGCTCACCCCAAGGAGAAACAAAGAGCTGTCCCCAGGGTCTAATACAAAAGGCTGAGGCTTGGAAGATACTTTAGAGAAGCCAAATTTCAGCCTAGGGACTCCAGTGAATACCTGCCCACAGTTCTCAGGAGACACTGAACCAAAGAACATGTCTGCAGAGAAAGTCTTTTTCTTTTTCTCTCTCTCCCCTTAAGTATATTTTAAATATCATCTCTGAAATCTTCTAAAGTGTTCTGAAGCACTGGGGAATAAAACGTAACCCCATTCTGTATCTCTCTTCCTAGTTCACCTCTTCTCCCTCCCCACTTTTCAGTAGCTACAACCAGGGGTTTCTTTTTTGGAGCCCAAGGTTTTGGGATTTAAACTTTCAAAGCCTTGTTTCATTTGCGTATATGAACACTGGGCATTGCCTTTGACTCTTTCTCCCTCATCTTTAAGGGTCAGCATTTTAGAAAAATGAGCTTTGAACCCTTCCTAGCAGAGCACCAGAAAAATGGCTACAGAACATCTCTCCTTGTTGTGTTGCAGTGCCTGTTTTAAAACACTGTTCTCAAAGCAAGGAAGAGGGCCTGAAAACTTGTATACTTGTATAGTTTCTGCTTCTAATTAATGGGTTGGAAAAAAAAACCTTCTTAGATTTGTTTCTAAAAATAAAAACTTTAGGAAAAAAATATCCCTAAGATCAATTTTGCTGACTTCTTGATTCAAGGTTTTTTCCTTTCTTTTTTAAAGCAAGGCTTCATCACCTTCCCATTTTCTCCCTAATCCACAGCCCCTCTTCTATATAGGTCAGACACCAATTCCTATAAAAGACTGCTATGTGGGGTATTTGGGGAATCCAGTTGGAACAGAAAATTCAGTCATTATCTAACGACCCAGAACATAGAGGTTTTGTTTTCTTTCCCCAGAAGGAAAATGTTGGACCATTTGGTTCCCCCCCACCCCCACCCCTTCCTTTAATCACCCAGAACTGGTTGTAAGCACAGAGCTGAAAAAAAAGCACACATGGAAATATATTTTCAAGAAATCAACTTTGAGTGGATCCTTTGCTTCTCTATAGAAAGGTTAAGGGCCCCCTACACACATTTCTGGGGGAGTGGGGAAGGGGAGGAGCTCAAAATGCCCGTTAAAGCCAGAAGTCAATTCACACATGTTTGATTTGGCTCCCTGAAATTCAGCCTCTTTCACCATTTAAAGATGTTTGGCATGAAGGTGTCAGTTATTTCTGTACCCCATTTCTCAACAAATAAATATTTAAGCAAATACAATCTAAGCATAAAACAACCTGTTTCCACTTCCTTCTTAGACGCATTTCTTTGGACATGGGGCCACTGGGAGCAAAAGATTTTTGTTTGCTTTTTAAATCACACTGGGATTATATAGACAACCCAGGAAATTAAAAAATCTGGACCCAGCTCTCCTACCTCCACTGAAAGTGCCTAGCACAGAAGTGGCCAACCTTCTCCCTTAACTCCCCCACATTATTAAGCCACAAAGCCACCCTGGAGAGTGTCCAAATACACACTGGGATAAAGCATCCAACCTTCATTTGCAAATTCAAAATCCAACAGCTGAGATTTTCATGAGTTTAATGACTTGCCAAGGTTTTATGTTCTCAGTAGCTCCTGCCATATAATAATATACTTAGAGAGAGAATCCCACCCTCTCCCACCCCCATCCCCTCTCCGGGGAGGAGGGAGCTGCCCTCGGGAAGGATGCTAACCTAGTCCGAGGGCGGCCTGCTTGTCCCAGGTCCACCCTCACAGTACCTTAGAGCCCAGCGAGGTGACAGCAGGCCGGCCGCCCTCGTAGCTTCGGCTCGGCCGGGAGCTCGGGGAGGGATGGGCCCAAGATCCCCACTCCTATAAGGTCGTCAGGTCCGTGTGGTGGTCTTTGGCCAGCGGCTGCAAATGCTGGCCGGGGGCAGCTGAGGAAGAGCAGGAGGACGACGACGAGGAGGAGGAGGACGACGACGACGACGACGACGACGAGGACCTGCCTTTGGTGTTGGGCAGCTTGTGGTCTTTTTTCCACTTCATCCTCCGGTTCTGGAACCAGATCTTGATCTGGCGCTCTGATAGACACAGGGTGTGAGCGATTTCAATCCGACGGCGCCGCGTCAGATACCTGTTAAAATGGAATTCCTTTTCCAGTTCTAGGACTTGCTGTCGGGTGTAGGCCGTCCGGGACCGCTTGGGCTCCCCGCCCGTGTAGTTGGGGTTCACTGCGAGACAAAACAGACAACACAGCCAGGTCAGCGCTCGGTCACTAGTTAGGCCCCTCGCCACCGCCGCTCACTTCCTGGCGCGCCCGGAGGCCCGCGGCCCTCCCCGCACGCTCCCCAGCTAGCTTCCTCCTTCCCGCCCGCCCTCCCTGGCGCACACGCTCATTCCCACCCACCCCTCACAGCCACCCACGCCCCCAGGCTCGCAGCGCCAGGATCCCCGAAGGTGCTGCCAGCTCCTGGGCCCACCACTGGCTTCCGAGTTCCCAAGCATTTTGGAAACCCCTCTTCTCCTCCACCGAGTTCCCTCGGTTCTGAAAATGGTGTCTTCCCCCACCCCCCATCCCCACCCCCTTTTGCGCCCACAGCCAAGCAGCCAGCCACATGGTCGTGGCCTGCTCCCACAGCTATAAAAATTTATGGAGGGAGTAATTGCGGCGCCCATTGAAGCCCCACCGCCCCCACCTACTCGCACCCCCCCATGCTAGCGGCCCAGGCCGCGGTTCCAGAGAGCGGAGGTCGGGTCCAAGAGGTCGCGGAGCCCGCGCCTTACCCGAATTCACGTGCACCTTCTTCATCCAGGGATACACCACGGCCGGCTGCTTGAGTGCTGTTCCGGGGGGTGGCTGCTTGGGGCCGCCAGGCTGGCTGCAGGCCCGGGCGGCCGGCAGAGGCGCGGGCGGGGGCGCTGGGGGCGCGGGGCAAGGCTCTCCCGGGGCGCCGTAGTGGCCGCCTGGGCCGCTCGGCTCTTGTCCGTGACCCCGCGCGGGCAGCGCCGAGCCGGGCCCGGACCCGCCGCTTCCGAAGGGCTGCTCACCGAAATCGGGCCGCGGGTAGAGCCCCGGGGGCTGGAAGTCGGCTCCCTGAGCGCCGCCGCTGTAGTAATCCGCCCCCTGCTCGCCTAGGTAGCCACCCTGCAAATACTCCTCGCACGGAGGGAACTTGGGGTCCACATACTTGGAGTTCACCATATACGAACTCATGGCCATTAATTTCAGAAGGTAGAAAATACTAATTTTTCTCGTGTTGTCTTTTTTTCTCCTTCCATAGGGCCCTCCTACTTGCTGTCAACTGAATAAAGTTGGGCGGCCATGTGACCAAGCCAACCAATGGCGAGGGAGCGAGTTTATCACCGGGTTGGTGAGCATCTCATAATTTTCACAAATTTAACTAAATAACATACGTGTAATCAAGTGACTCACTGTCGCCCATTTGAGGGCACCCGTCAGATGTTAATGTAGTTCCAATTCCCAGCACCCCTGTGCCCCGCAGGTAAACCCAGCTTTTGTCTGCCACTGACTTTGTTAACCTTCGGTGCCCTCTCCACTCACCCCCGCCTGAAAGCAGCCCCCCAAAGCGGGCACAGTTCAAGGAGGAATGAATCCATACATCCCCAGCGCGGGACGCAGATAGGAGGGCGGGCGGGCAAGGCGGCCTCCGCGTTGGGCAGAGGGCCCCAGGCGGGCAGGGTTCCCGCCCGCCCAGCCCGCAAGCGGGGATTCTGCCATACAAAGGCCGCGTCCCGGCTTTGTCCTCGTCAGGGTCACCCAAAAGTTACCAGAATCCGGCCAGCCTGAAGCAAATTAGGCAATGAATAACCGCCAAGCTCTCTGCGGGTGCCCAGGCTCAGGCGTTCCGGCAAAAGCCGGCCTCACTGCTCTGGCAAGAGACTCCCGTTGCCCTGGGTCCATGCAGCTGCTTAAGGTTGAGCAGGCAAGGTGGTGAGGGCACTCTCACCTCACCCAAATGTGCCCAGAGGTCCCTGCACGCCTTCTTCTCATGCCGGGTCCTAAACGCTGGGCCCCAGTATTGGGTACCTTCCAACCTCAGGCTGCTGGGGGTCAGACCTGGGGTTGGGGCTAGATGACCATCCACCTCGCTCTCCAAGCCCCCAACACCTAGCTCTATGGCCCTGCATTCACGCAGTCGATTAGGGTTCTTTGCAGCACCCACAGGAACCTCTGTGTAAAGGTGAGAAGCTTCTTGAGGGACAGGTTGCTCTATGTCACCAGGCTAGTCGATCCTCCTGGAGTCCAAGGTAGCAAGACAGAAAAAGGCTGACCAGCGCCGGCAGCCTCTGCCTCCACTTCAGACTCCAGCTATTTCGGAGAAAGGTGAAGTTTTTGCATCGACCATATATTCCCCTAGAATCGAATCTGTGACTATGTGGATACCACACAAATTCGGTTCTACAGGGTATATATAGACAACGTTACAACCTCTGGGTCCCGCCCAGCGAGGGTACCCATACTGCTGCCATCCCTGGCCTCTTCCTCCGAGCTGCCACGGGACCCACGAAGTTACCCGAGCTTTCAGAGGCGGTTCAGGTAGCCTGACGGGTTTGGTGACAATTTGCAGCAACGAGTTTCCCCAATCCTTGTGCCAGGGCCAGGACTACCCAGCAGCCAGGGCATTCTTCTTAAGAAAGAAAATAAAAGAATAAAATAGAACCCATTCCAGAGAGGGAGGCTTTATCATCACCCCCCTCTCGGGATCCAAATAACCCCCCTTACCAAGTGGTATTTTCCAGAAGTCAGCAAATGCCCTCGGCGGCAGAAGAAAAAGGGACAGGAGAGGAAAATCTCCTCTGCCTGTTTCTTCTCCCACTCCAGGGTGGCTGCCAAAGCTAGTTCTCCAAGAAGTCTTGCCTTTACCTTCCTGGGCCCTGTTCCGGACTGGCCTCTTCAGTCCCCGCTGCTACCGCAGACCTGGAGAGGCAGGCGCTGCTCCCAGGCACCGAGCCGCCCTGGGCTGGGGGCTGGTGCACTAATGGTGAGGGGCAGGGCGAGGGGTCATTCGAAATCATTTACAAACATATCACAAAGTTGCATTATTTTTGCTTTGCTTCCAGCAGCACACCAAGAGCCCAAAAGTTCGTGAATTGCACTCGTCCCAGCACCTCCGTGCTGTCCCGGGCTCGCCCCTTGGTTTCAGGCACCAAGGGTGCCGAGGTGCTCAAGACTTGGGTGGATTTCGGGGGGCAGAAGGATTCCCCGGCTCGACTGGGGCTTTTGGATTGCTGACTATAAGCCAGGGGTGGGTTTCTCTTTTTTTCGCTTTTTTTCTTTTTTAATTTTGGTTGTTTCAATTTTTTCTTTTTCTTTCTTTCTCCCCCCCCCCTTTTTTTTTTTTTTTGGCCATGATTTAAAAATTACTTTCAAGCCACAGAGTGGGCCTGGTGTGTGTGTGTGTGGGGGAGACACCCCCTCCACAATCGTCTCCAAAATTGCCACATTTATTGATTTATTTGTTGACCTGGTAATCCTTTGGCTTAGCTACTTGGGCGATTTCATTGGGATCTCCTGGGTGCCAATTCTAACAAGGGCTCTGAGGCTCTCCTACTTCCAATCACAGGAGAGTCCCCCCAGTTAACCCTTATGCCAAACACTTCCAGGAACCCACCTTCCTGGGGATACAGGGCCTGGGCTTTATCCAGACAAATCAAGGAGCCTGCTGGGCTGGGCGGTGACAGGGATAAGGGTGCACATTTTCATATTTGTTAGACGCTGTGACCTGCATTTCACCTTATTGCTCGACTTGTTCAGACAGGTCAAAGCCAACGAGTTATTGATGAACAAAAGCGTTAAATATTCACCTCCCCGCTCAACTGCCCATACAAATGCTTTTGATCTCTCAGGCTTTTTGTGCTGTGTTCAGCTACAGCTCCCTGTAGCTTGCAAGCCAGGGACCTCAACAGAAATAAGCACCCAGAGCCAGGGGACAGGGGTGGGGGGTGGGGATAGGAGTAGCGGTTCTGGGGGTGCCAGATTTCCCAGCCTGGAGCCCAGGGCCCAGTTCCCAGAAGGGAACTATGCATCGGGTGAGATCTCCACTTGGGGTGAGAAAAGTCCTATAGAGAGTCAACTACACTGCCCAGCCCCACAGGGCAATGAAACCTGGCCCAGAGCCAAGTCCCAGCTTTTCTGATCCGATAGATAGAGAGGGATTCTCACCAGAGAAGCAAGGGTGCATGATTGCTGGTGTCCTCCAATGTTCCATTTCTCATAAAACAAAATCACCTCTGTTTTGCAGAGAGGGAGGGGCCACTGTTTTTCCATCAACTCTCTTCACTTTTTTTTTTCCCTCCCAGACACTACCATCATATTAGTTATACATGAGATGGTCTTCCTGAAGACGTCACAGGCCTCCTGAGAAATGTACCTGTCTCCCGAGTCATATGAAATTCTGAAAGATCCAGACTTCTGAGCCTAGGGCCCTACAAGTCTCTGCCTTGGGCACCCCACGCAATCCTCTGTTTCCCCACAGTGCCAGCGGCTCTGGGCGGTCATTTCCAAATTCGGGAACTGCAGTTGCAAAGAAGCAGAGGCGAATGAGAAGGACTCCTGCTCAGTCCAAGCCCCCAGCCCAGGGCCCACACCCAGTTGGGGCCTGGGGGTGGGACGGGGAGGGATGTCCACGTACAGCTCAGAGTTCTCAGCCCTTCCTGGAAACAGGCCAATTCACCACACCCACAGCCCTACGGATTAGTCTTTTTGATTAACAAACAAAAACCAGGAGAAGGTTAGGCCGGGCTGGACCGAGTTGGCTTGGGTTGACCTGCACTGCGGAGGGTACTCACGTTGCCTCGGTGTTGACTAGATTGGTTGGATCAGGAAGCGATGTTCGCCAACTTGTTAATAGGGCGGGCTGCTAATTAGCTGCAAGCTCTTAACAGAAGCGTGCGCTGCTGCTGGAGCTGCACCTGTGCGAGCCTGAACGGCCCGGGAAGGCCCAGGAAGATCCGCGGAGGCCTGCGGAGGCCGGAAAGATCCCAGGCTGCGTTCCTTTAGGCAGGTGACTGCGAACTAGGCCCTCTAAAAGCTTTCCCTGAGCTCAACTTACAGCCTCCACCTCCCAGAGCGAGTTCTTGCATCCCCAGGCCTGTGGAAGCAGGGCCTTGGTCCACCCGCCCAGGGCTCTGGCGCAGCCCTTCACCCATCACCTCCCAGAGATCAGAACCGCCTCTTCGCGATTCGGAAGAAACGGGAAGGTACTTACAGCGGCGGTGTCTCGTGGTCCCGAACCTGCTGCAATTAAAAACGAGGTCACTCAAATTCCAAAGAATAGAAAAGCAGATGATACCCAGAAAAATGACAAGGCCCAGGCACCCCACCCAATCAATACCCAGACCTCCCTTCTTCTGCTTCCTTCGGGGTGCCCGCCCCCAGGCATTGCGCAAAGTTCTCGGCCGAGAAGATCGCAGTCCTTCAGGGCAGACCCACCGAGTGCGGAAAATGCAGCTCCCAACACCTCGTTCACTTCATGCACCCTTGGGCAAAACCTTACTGTTTGCTTGGCCCCACTCAGGCTGCCTGTAACAGGGTTTTCCCGGTGGGAAAACGGGAAGCTAGGCGAAAATGGGCCTTTGTGTATTTCATTCTCCGCAATCGGCCGAGTGGGCATAAGTCTACTGGGGACAGGGCAGTAGCTCCATCTGTCCGCCCCCCCCCAGCACCCTGTTCCTATAACACTGAGAGCAATTCAGCCCCATCTTCCAGTTTCAGGTTGGTTTCAAATTCTCAGCCCCCAACCAGAACCCCAAAGCTCTCCTCTCCCCAAAGAAGGACCCCCATATGGCTGGGACTTGCCTTCCCACTTCTGCTCCCATTCAAAACAAAGAGCAATTTCCAAGTGAAATGAGGACTCAAAAGATAACCAAGGAGGAGGAAAATCAATGGTTTTCAAGGTAAATGGCAATGCTTTAGATGGTTATCCACCTCTCTGGGTATGGCATCAATTTCTCAGCACTACTGCTGGAGAACCCAGGAAACATCTCACAAAGCAGTGGTTCCCACAGAAGCTGGTGCCCCAGCTTTGTGTCCAGTCTTCTCTAGTTTGATTCCAGGATTGCAGTCTTCTCTGAAAAATCTCAGGGGCAAAGCCATCTCCACCCTTATCCTTTTTCTCCCTCTCCCCAGACTATCACTGTTTTTATCCATTCTGAAGTAGAGGCTCTATTATGGGGAGGAGATAGACAGTAAGTGTCTCT